ATATTTATACAATCAGTGCATTTCACATCTAAGGTGCAAAGGAAACAGCCTATGAAGTAGGGAACACTTACAAAGAAGTGTTAGGATCGAAAATGGAAGGCTGAAAAGGAGTTCACGGCTAGCTTGATGGGTTCACGGCCCCATGAAGGGTTCACGGCCCTAAGAAGTGTTCACGACCCTAAGAAGGTTTCACGGCCCATGGATGGTTCACGGCCCTAAGAAGGGTTCACAACCCATGGATGGTTCACGACCCTAAGAAGGGTTCACGACCCAAAATCAGGGAAGAACACTTGAAGATCTTGATGATTGGCGAGTGTTTGAAGGTCCTAAGTGGTATACTAAGGAGATGCAAAAGGAAAAGGGATGAAAAGAGTGAAAATGGTGTTCTTGGTATATGATACTTGAGAGAGAAAGGGAGGGTTTTCGGCCAAGAGATGAAGAAATGAGGGTAAAATCGAACAACCTCATATATATAAGGTATAGTTCACGACCAAGGGAGGGTTCACGGCCGTGAACCTAGTTTGCGGCCGTGAACCTCACTTGTTGAGGTTTATGGCTCGAATGTAATTCTTGGTTCTCGGTTCTTATGTGGTTCACTTCCTAACACACAACCCTGACGTATATTAGGTCTAGAAACCTATAAGTTTGAACTTCGGTTGATGTGTTTGACCTTACAAGAATAAAAATTTTCGGGTTGTCACATATAAGTTATTATTTGGTAGATGCTAGTTATACAAATGGTGAAGGTTTATTAGCCCGGTATAGAGGTTAAAGATATCATTTGAATAATTGGCATGTTGGACACCAACTAACTACACCTAAAGAATTATTTAACATGAGACATTCATCTGCAAGAAATGTTATAGGAAGATGTTTTGGTATTTTGAAGGCAATATGGGGAATTTTAAGGGAGAACTCATAATATCCAATTGATCTAAAAAATAAGATCATAATGACATGTTGTCTTCTTCATAATTATATAAGACAGGAAATGACAATTGATCCATATGAGATCCGATTTGAACTAGACGAGGGAACCGGAGATGTCGACGGTGGAGACGATGATCATATCACTTATGTTGGTGTATCAACCGAGTGGACTACATTTTGAAACAACTTAGCACAAACTATGTTTGATTCTTGGAATACTACACATTGGTCCTTTCTCATTTTGTTATGTTTATCATTTACTATAAAAGAATTTGTGCGACGTTTGTTATTTTTAATAATGAATTTTAATTTGTTTTTTCCAGTTATATTTGTTACATATATGGTTGGGTATTTTTTTATTGCATTTGTTGTTTCATCTAAATTTTGTGTTTATAACAGTAGGTGTGATGGAAAAAAGTAGAAACTATCATAACTGGATAATAACTGAAGATGCCAAGGTCGTGGAAGCATCGGTAAATATGGTGAACATGGGAGGATTTAAAGCCGATAATGGTTTCAAATCTGGATACTTACAACATCTAGAAAACACACTGAAGGAAAAACTCCTATCTATGACATATTGGGTAAACCCCACAATGAGTTAATGATCAAAACCATGAAAAAAGATGGACAAGTCGTTTATGATATGGTGAATGGTATGAACACAACGGTTTTGGTTATGATAGCTTTACTCATTCTGTAACGGCTGAACCAACAGTTTGGGATTCTTATATACATGTATAATATTAAAACTTTTGTATATCTTGTTACTTCTTAGTTATTTATATTATAATTTTATGTTCTAACCTTTTATGATACAAAATAGGTTCATAAAGAGTCAAGAAAATGGAGAAATAAGATATTTTCTCATTATGAGGATTTATGTATCATTTTTGGAAATGATAGAGCTCAAGGAAATAAAACCAATGATTTTGCCCAAATGGAAGAAGATGCAAACATTGAAGAACAATATGAACAAATAGAATATGGTTTTGAAGAACAAACCACAGAAAACGAAGAATATCCAAACATATGCATAAAGAAGAGAAAAAGAATTGATGTTGTTATTAAGGGAATAACTATCGCAACTAACGTCCTTGGAGAAAAACTTGAAAAAACAGCTAATAGCATGAATCAAGCAATTCTAGGAAAAACAGAAGTACAAAAAGAGCTTCGATGGTGATTCCTGAAATTTCAAAAATACAATCATTGAGTGCCTTGGATAGGTTCAAAGCAAATAGGAAAATAATGCGTGGTTTGGAAACCGTGTTAAGTTTTTGGAATTTGGAAGGAGAAGATTGGGAGGATTTTATGAGGTTCATGTTGGAAAAGTGATATGATTATGAACTAGGTATCTAGACATTATTTTACATGTGCTTGGTTAACTTTTTTATTTTATTTTATTTTATTTTATTTATTTATTTTTTAATTTTAGATTGGAAATAATGAATGACATTTGTTGCTTTACATTATTATATATAATCGTTTTATTTCCATTTAAAAAAAATATTTTTATGTGTTCAACAAAATAGATGTTAGTTATTTTTAATTTATATTTTATAGAAGAGTTCAATAAAAAATGTTGTAATTATATAAAACTTCATTATGTTTATTAAAAATTATAAGTAAGGTACAAAAAATCACTAAAAGGGTATTTTTGCCATATTACAAAAATCATTTTTCAATTTCTTCGGGAAATCAGCAAACCAAATAGAAAACATATTTCATTCCATATCAACCAAACACATTTAAGTTTCTAGTACATTCAAATTCCAAATCCTCAAGATTCAAATTCCTTTGAAAAATTTCATTCATTTCAAAAACATTCTGACGCAACCTTAATATTTACTCCTGATGAATTAGGGAATTAGGACTGGCCAATGCATGGGCGACATATGTCACACCTATATATGAGTGTGAATCGCGCCTTTAAAAGCTTGGTATACAAGGAGCATTATGTTAAATGAGGATCACATCCTTTAATTTATATATTATATTATAATTTTTTTTCTTTTTAAAAAACAAATGGGTAAAAAACAATGGGTGTATTAGGAACCAAACTGAAAGCATAATATGAATCGGTTCCAAATGGTTTCATATATTAAAAACCAAACCGGAACCAATCATATCGGTTTTGGTTTCAAAACGGACAATTTTGAATTCTAAAAGCTAGCACATAGTTCCGATGCAAACCCTAGTTGTAGATGTGACATCAAGGTGTTTTTGAACACAAAAAATAAAGGATAAATGAAAAGATAATAAGTTTATTGTCCTCGTTTTGCACCCGCTTGTGCACAAGATTAGAGACAATTGTAAGCTCCTTCTCCATGCTTGGTATCTAGATGATGGGACTGTCATTGGGGATTCAGAGGAGGTGGCTAGAGTGTTGAACATAATTCGGTTGCATGGTCCAGGTTTGGGTCTTGAGTTGAACATCAAGAAAACGGAGATTTTTTGGCCCTCCTGTGATGGTAGGAAGCTTCGTACCGATTTATTCCCAACGGATATAGGGAGACCTTCTTTGGGGGTGAAGCTCCTTGAGGGGGCTGTTAGCAGAGACGCAGGGTTTATTAGCGGGCTGACCATGAAGAGAGCGGTTAATGCTGTTGATTTGATGGGCCTTCTTCCACAACTATGTGACCCGCAGAGTGAGCTCCTTTTGCTTCGATCATGTATGGGCATTGCAAAACTTTTCTTTGGTTTAAGGACATGTCAGCCGGTACACATAGAAGAGGCAGCATTGTTCTTTGACAAAGGATTGCGCAGGTCTATCGAGGATATGGTGGTATGTGGAGGCCCCTTCTTTGGAGACATTCAGTGGCGCTTGGCTTCCTTACCTATTCGTTTCGGTGGTTTGGGTTTGTACTCAGCCTACGAGGTTTCCTCCTACGCATTTGTAGCCTCGAGGGCCCAATCTTGGGCATTACAAGACCACATCTTATGTGACAGTGGTGTATGTGGTATGGACTCGGATTACCTATGTGCTATGACTCGTCTTCGCGATACGATTCCGGGATTTGACTGTAGCGGTTTCACTAATAAGGACACCGCCCCCCCTAAATCCCAAAAAGCTTTGGCGTGTGCCCTTTTTAGCAAAATTGTCCAAGATATGGAAGTCGACTTCGACATGACTGTCAGACAGAAAGCAGTCTTTGAGTGTCTGCGGGCACCTCATGCTCATGATTTTCTGCTAACTATTCCTATTGATGGTCTTGGCCAGCATATGTCTCCTGTGGAGTACCGAACTATCCTTCGTTACCGCCTCATGATTCCCATATTCCCAATTGACGAGATATGCCCAGTTTGTCGCAAGGCATGTTTGGATACCTTTGGGGAACACGCGGTTCATTGTAGAGAGCTCCCTGGTTTCAAGTATAGACATGATGTGGTTTAGGATGTTTTCTTTGATGCTTGTCGGCGTGCTGGTATTTCTGTGAAGAAAGAAGCGCCAGTGAACTTTTTGACGGACCCGCAGGATGGAAGGTCCACACTTAGACCGACTGACATTTTGGTCTTTAGATGGATAGGAGAGAAGCATGCGTGCGTGGATCTTACTGGGGTCTCTCCTCTCGTTGGTTTGGGGAGCGGAAGTTTCACAGCTGGGCATGCCGCTTTGAAAGCCGCTGCGTGCAAAGTGGTAAAGCACGAGAATACATGTATAGAAAATCAACATGTGTTTGTACCTTTTGCATTCGATACATTTGGTTTTTCTCGCACCAGAGGCGGTGGAGCTCCTCAATAGAGTCCAACAGGTCATGCATTCTAATGTCATATCTCCTAGATCCACAAATGTTGTTTTCAAAAGAATTGGTTTTGCCATCCAGAAAGGGCTAGCGGCGCAGCTTGTTGCCCGTTTGCCTTCAATCGATATGTATTGAACTATCTTATTATCTTATCAAAAAAATTTATTACATAAAATAATAATTTAATAGTTTTTTCCAGTATTTTGAATATAGGTCGAGTAAAACTAAACCAAATAAAATCATTTAAGTTACGATTTTTAAACCCAAAGTCAAACGAAACTAAGTATATAGTGTGAAACTGTGAAGGGGTAAAAGAATAGAAAAAAAGTGGTCCTCCAATCTCCATCAAGAAGCAATCGAGACCAAAAGAGGGTTTAGACCTTAACAATGGAGTAAACAGTAAACTGACAGTGACTTCAACTCACCACCAGCAATTCAGCAAACACCTCTGAAAAGCAGACGACTTTCTATCATCTAAACCACGGTCAAACCCTACACCTTTTTCTAATCCGTGTTCTTCAAATTCCCCCCCTTTTGTCTGTTTCCCCATCATCAATTTCCGAATCTCATTTCCCCAATCTGCAAGCAAGAAAAAACCTCAATCAACGCGTTTGTCACACTCAATTTTGTTCATACTCACGGATCCTGATTAATATATTCCCATTTCTTTATATGGCTTACAATTCTTTCGTGTCCGTGAACTGTTGCGAACTCTGGATTTGGTTTGTTAGATTATCTGGTTGAACGCGATTCACCGGATCTTTCGATTTAGGGTGAGAAAAATGGGTGGGGTTTGTACGGGAGGGACGTTGAAGCGGAGCACGGCGGCGGATTACGGCAGTGATAAGAGTAGTACTGGGTTTTCAGGGAAATTGAGGTCCGTTAAGAGCTTTAATCATCAACAGAAGAAGAATGATTATGATAATGCTAATGATGATTCCGTTTTACCTTCTTACACACAAGATAACGATGTGTATCATCGGAAAACCACATCGTATGATTCCGGCGAACTGTTCTCGATTTCAAGAGAACTGAAACCCTCTACCCCTGCTAGGGTAGCTAGCAAGGTATATGTCCAATTCCTTTCTCTTTTCTCCATCACATCCACTCCAATTTCTCTATTTTCAACGAAGATCCTTGAATTCTTCAGTATAAAATCACAATGGAACTGATTTGATTATTTTAATCTTCCATTTTTGGTAGGTTCCTCATGTAACGACGTTTCTTGGTAAAGCTGGAAACGTAGGTCTTGAAGTGTTGGACACTTTAGGAAGCAGCATGACGAATTTCAATTCTCATAGTGGATTTGTATCAAATTCGGCTTTAAGAGGGAATAAAGTATCGATTTTGGCATTTGAAGTTGCTAATACGATTGTCAAAGGCTCCAATTTGATGCAATCCCTTTCAGAAGAAAACATTCAGATTCTTAAAAAGGAAATATTGCATTCACAAGGTGTTCAATTGTTGGTTTCTACTGATATGAAAGAGTTGTTAAGTATTGCAGCTTCTGACAAAAGGTAATTCGATTCTTACAAAACATTCAAGAAATAGCAATGTAGTGTCATTGATTTGTTTATTAATTAATTAATTAATATGCTTTGATTTTTTCATAGGGAGGAATTTGAAGTGTTCTCAAGAGAAGTGGTGAGATTTGGAGATATGTGTAAGGATCCACAATGGCATAATTTGGATCGTTTCTTTGTAAGGTAAAGCTGAAATTTTTTTAACTTCTTATAAATAATTACTAATATTAAATATGATTACAAAAACTATATTGTTAAAATAATAATCAGATTTGAATGAAATGCTTTTATGAATCAGGTTGGATTCGGATCCAATAACAAATAAACAACTTAGAGAAGAGGCTGAGATTACAATGCAAGAACTTGCTAATCTTGCACAACATACTTCTGTAAGCCACTTATAAAAAAGTTAATATATTAAATATATAATTATAAAAACTATATTGTTAAAATAATAATCTATTTCTTAATGTTAAAATACAATTCGGGTGAGTGGATTTTATAAAGTATAGTATTGTAAAAAGAATAAAATTGAAAATACAATGCTATATAATTAGATAGATTTTTTTAAAACACAATGCTATAATTAGGTAGATTTTTTTTAAGGGTTAATCTCATCAAAGACCTTATATTTTGTGTTTTTTTCGGATTAAACCGAAACTTTATTCTTTTCATGAAAAAGACCTTGCATTTTTTTCAAAATTTCCGATTTGGCCCTTTTAGTCATTTTTCTCCAAGAAACGTAAAATGTGAGGGTTTTTTCAGAAAAAACTAAAAAAGTTGAGGATTTATTTTGAAACATTTACAAGGTTGAGGTTTTTTTCGAAAAAAAAGACAAAGTTGAGGGTTTTTTCAGAAAAAACTAAAAAAGTTGAGGATTTATTTTGAAACATTTACAAGGTTGAGGTTTTTTTCGAAAAAAAAGACAAAGTTGAGGGTTTTTTCAGAAAAAATGAAAAAATACAAGGTCTTTTTCATGAAAAAATAAAGATGAGGTTTAATCTGGAAAAACCACAAAGTATAAGGTCTTTTATGAGATTAACCCATTTTTTAAAGTATAATGTTGTAATAGAAAGAAATAAAAGTAGGATGCTATAATAAAAGGGAAATCTACAGAAAAGTCCTAAACTTTTGGGAATAGTTTCAATAAAGTCCTAAAAGTTTTTTTTTAACAGAAAAGTCCCGATTATTTAACATTTTGCCCAAATTACTGAAAAAGTCCTTTTTTATATTTGAATAGCAAATGACAAATGAAACTTTTCTGTTCAAAAAAAAAAAATTTAGGACTTTTTTGAAACTTTCCCAAAAGTTTGAGACTTTTTTGTAGATTTCCCATAATAAAATAATAATACATTTTTTTTTTGCAGGAATTGTATCATGAGTATCATGCTTTGGATAGATTTGAAGTAGATTATAGGCGAAAGATTGAAGAAGTTGAATCTTTACATCTTCCTCGAAAAGGTTAGGCAAATTAAAATCAATTTTGAAATTTTAATTTTTTTAAATAAAATATGGTAAATATTTTATATTTGTAAGTTGTTTGATTAACATTTGATTGTTTGTTATAATAGGAGAGAGTCTCATGATATTACAAAGTGAGCTAAAGCATCAAAGAAAACTTGTGAGGAACTTGAAAAAGAAATCTCTTTGGTCCAAAAATTTAGAAGAGGTACAAAAACTAATATAACTTTCCATGGGGGCCCACATGAGGGCAAATTTGTAAAAAGTAACGACTTAAAAAATGAAATAAATGTATTTTTTTTCATTTTGCATTTCTTGTTAGTAGGTTGTGGAGAAGCTTGTAGATGTTGTCACCTTTATTCATCAAGCAATTGTGGATGCTTTTGAGGAGAATGGTATTGCAAAATACTTCAATTTAAATGTTTTTTCTTCCATATGTTTAATGCAATAGAAATATCAAGGGCAAAATACAGAAAAACACAATGTACTTATATAGTGATTAAATCATTATACGTTTTTGAATGTTAAAAAAATACTATTTTTCTCGATTGCCCAATTTGCAAAAAAAGGTTAAACTACAAAAAATACAACATAACTTCATCATTTTATGTATTTAGCAATTGAACGATTATCTTTTATGATTATTTAGTTATTTAGTTATAGTTCAATGGTTAAATCAATAAATAGTTAAGTAGCAAAATTGATAAAATGGTAGCACATTGTGTTATACATTATTTCCTCTTATACATCAAAACTTGTTTGTTGAGTATTTAAAAAAAGTAAAATGCTTTAATCACTACAGAAAATAATCAAATGGGAGTTGGAGTATTGTTGTTTTGTGTTTTTACATTTCTGATTTATCATTTATATTTATTTATTTTCTAATTTCAGCTGCAAATTCAATAAAGAATGGCAAATACGTAAATAAAAAGACGGAAAGATTAGGTGGCGCGGGTCTTGCTTTACACTATGCCAATTTAATCACTCAGATGGACAACATCGTAAGCTACTACTCTCTTATTCTCTATTTTATTTATTTTTAAATTAATAAAAAAAATTAATGCATTTGATATCGACCATTTTGACATGTTTGTAAATTTTACTGTTTTACCCTTTTGGAGGTAAAATATATGACTCAAATTTAACCAATTTTTTTAATTTTTTACAGGCATCTCGTCCAACTTGCTTGCCTCCTAACATGAGGGACACGTTATACAACGGTTTGCCCGCCAGTGTAAAAGCAGGCTTACGCTCTCGCTTACAAGCTCTTGATTCAAAAAGAAGTTGTAAGTAATTTTTTCAAACCTCAACATTATTTTTTGTCTGAAAAAGACCATATGTGTTTTTTCATTTTTTTTTTTCGGAAAAACCCTCAACTTTGTCATTTTTTGTTTTTGGGAAATTTCTGATAAAGTCCAATATTTTTGGTCAGTTTACGGTTTAATCCTAACGTTTATTTTTTGAACAGAAAAGTCCCGATTATCTAATTTGATTCGAAAATGTCATTTCTGTTGAAAAAAATAAGGATTGTTTCGTTAATTTGGGCAAAATATAAAATAATCCGACGTTTTTGTTCAAAAAGTAAATGTTGGGATTAAACCATAAACTGAACAAAAATATTGGGATTTTATAAAAATTTCTTTTTTTTTTTGGAAAAACTCTCAACCTTCTAAATGCTTCTAAATAAACACGTAAATCTTTTAGTTTTTCTTGAAAAAACCCTTGCATTTTACAATTATTTTGGAAAAAATGACTAAAAGGACCAGATCGGAAAAAATAAAAAAATACAAGTTCTTTATAAGGAAAAAAATAAAGTTGAGATTTAATATGGAAAAAACACAAAATAAAAGGTCTTTTATGAGATTTACCCATTTTTGAAATCTCAATAAATGTTTTCAATTGTTTGGAGTAAATAATCACTAATTATGATTATGATTTATCTGATTGTTGAGATAAATGTAAAATTACTCGAATTTTAAACAACTAATTATTTAATTCTTCAATTCATTATAATCAAATTGAAAAACACACGTCCAAAGTCCAAACACCGCCTTATTTTTAGTCGTATAAGGGACGAGGGTAAAATAGTAAATATTGTTTTAACATTATAAAATTTGATCGGTTGGTTTCAGATGACAATGCCTCAAATTAAAGCGGAAATGGAAAAAACTCTTCATTGGCTCATTCCCGTAGCTACTGACACCACCAAGTAGGCTCTTATAAATACAAATCTAACTGACAGACTTGTACTGTGTTTGACCTGCATTGGACTGTGTCAAGACTTATGTCAATAACACAAAAATCACAAATGTTTTGTCCTACCCATAAATAGAAATCTGTACAAAAGACGTAAATACCCTTATCATCCTCATATTAAAAATTAGCTCTAGAAAGCTTGTTCTGTCCTGTCTTGTCCATGTCCAATATTACAAAAGACGTAAATACTCTCATCATGCTTTTACAATTGTCATTTTCTTGTGTCTACAGAGCACATCAAGGTTTTGGTTGGGTTGGAGAGTGGGCAAACACCGGGTAAGTCACCAATTTATATATTTTAAGACTTTTTTGTTTCTAAGTAAAAAAGAAAACACCTTTCATTATTTATCTTCATCAACTCCTATAAGTAAAAAAAACAAGAGAAAAAAGACAAAAATAACTATCTTTCTTAAGAAAATGTTCTCAATAACCACAATTTTTGCATTTAATTAGCTTTGGCACTGCAAAACTAACTAAACGCGTGTTTTTTTGATATTTTGAAGAAAAATAAAAATAAAAGATTGTATTGCGAAATTCACTCTGCATGCTGTGAAATTCTTCATATTTTTACGAAAATTATGATTTTTTTATCGGTTAATCTCATAAAAGATCTTATATTTTGTGTTTTTTTTTCTCGATTAAACCTCAACTTTATTTTTTTTTCCTGAAAAAAGACCTTGTATTATTTTCATTTTTTTATCCGGGTCTTTTAGTCATTTTTTTATTTTTTTCCGAAAAAACTTGTAAAATGTGAGGGTTTTTTCGGAAAAAACAAAAAAAGTTGAGGGTTTATTAGGAAACGGTTAGAAGTTTGAGGGCTTTTTGGAAAAAAGACAAAGTTGAGCGTTTTTTCAAAAAAGATGAAAAAATACAATTTTTTTTTTCAAGAAAATAATAAAGTTAAGGTTTAATCTTTTACAAAAAACACAAAATATAAGGTATTTTATGAGATTAACTCTTTTTTATTTATCAAGAAACATTTTTTTGTAGTATTTTGTGGTAGGGAAAAATAGTGCAAAAACAAGGAAAAGTGAAAAAAAAATAGCATGACAAAATTGGTGGTTATTAGTTTTTTTTTTTTTTAAATGTTGGCTAATTTTGGAAAAAAGCTCAAGAAACGGCTAAATTTGTCTTTTCCTCAAAACGACACAAAATAAACACAATTTTTGTAAAAAGTTACGACTTAAAATTTTCTCTGACTTTCTTTCTGTATTAAGTCGTTCTTGCTGTATTAAATCTAAACAACAGATCCGATTTCGGAAAGAAGACATCAACAAGCAACAACATAATCCGCCTACAAACATTATACCACGCGGACAAACAAAAAATGGATCGATACATACTTGATTTAATCATCTATCTTCACCGTTTAATAAGCCTCGTGAGATATCGTGACAAAATGCCCAAACACACACGCACCCGATCTCCAAATTCAAACGGGTCAAATCCAAATCAAAATCCTAAACGGGTCGAAATCTCATCAGAGGACAAGAATTTGTTGGAAGAAGTGACAAAAAGAAAAACGGGTGTTCGTGGAGTGAGTAAAAGTCAAGAACTTGTTATGGTGAAGAAGAAGAGAGGGGAGGTTTTTGTGTCGAGTAGAAGTATGGGGAGTTCACCAAGGAGAGATTTGAAGTTTGAGAATGCTAATATGCTTGATGTGTTAGATGGGCTAGGTACAACTTTTTGAGCTATGGGTACAAGAATTTAAAGATTTTTTTGATTTATACATGTTTGTTATAGTAACTTTCTTATTGAATAAGAAAGTTGTATGTGTATGTGTATGTATAAATTGTTGTTATGAGAGGCGTTAGGCGTGTAGTTGAGTGGGGAAATTGTAGTTGGTTGGGTGTTTGAAATAACCGGATTTAATTGGATATATAGTGTCACCACAATGATTATTATTCTTAATTTTATTTAACAATTCGAATATCTTTTTGAAAGTTGGGAACTTAATTATTGGCAGTCCCACATATTTGAAGTGTTAAAAATACAAAAACACACACATGGTATCATTTTCACATCTCAAACATATAACAATTAGTTCATATTATTAGGAGAATATGTTGATGGATATATTATATGGAAATGAACTAGTGATGTGTATTTAAAGAAAATAATCAATTTTTTAAGGGTTAATACCATAAAAGCTATAATTTTTACACCCCAATTCTAAATTAGCCCTAAATGGATTTTTTGTGTCTAATTAACCATTATGTATGTTACTTTTGCCTCAAGCTCTGTTAGCCGGTTATCCCTTTACAAATAGGGGTTTTACCGTTAGAAACCCATCTTCCACCTCCTATTTCTACCTTCTCCGACTTCTTCTTCCACGCAACAACTTCTTCATGACTAGTTCATCTACATGGTCTATAGGGTCAATGACTTCAGGATTTTAAAATGTTAATGTCAATTTCAGGAACAAAAACAACCCATGGTTTTGTGTCGTTGTGGTGTTGAGGCTAGCTTCTCAATTTCGTGGACGGACAAGAATCTCGGAAGAAAATTTAGGGGATGCACCAACTACAAGGTATGTTCTTCACTCTTTGATCCAGTATAAAGTTTTGTTATGGGACTAAGGGCAAATCTGTCATAAAAATGTGCAGGATCCTTTCAGGTATTGTATATTTGATACCATATAAAGAAAGAGTATACAAATCATATATTTGATTGATCAATAACATATATTTACTGTGGCTGGACCTACCTTTGACTAGTGAAGAAAGAGATTACAACTATTGTTTGACTAATTATTAACAACCGAAATAAAATGTGCATGATCCTTCCAGGTATTGTAAGTTCTTCATGTGGTTGGACCCACCTTTGCCTAGTGAAGATTACAAAAACCTGATGTACCAAATGCATTTAGCTCTTGGTATGGCTGATGGCAATGCTCGGTTGAAACAGGTGAATATGGATCAAAATAGGAGGTTGATGTTGATGATGAAGCTTATGTTCATCATGGTCATGCTATTTGCAGTGATGTTGGTAACAGGGACTATATTGCTGGTGAAATTGTAGGAAGTTAGGAAGTTAGGAAGTTAAGTTTAGTCTTTTGTGAAGTTGTTGGTTAGGTGAAATTGTATTAGATTGCTTATTTTGGCGCAATTGTAATAGCATCTGAAAATGTTTTGAAGGTTGTAATATGGGTACCCTTGTAATATATAGTCCTACGGGACAATTAATATGAAAAACATTAACCAGAAATTGACAATGTACTATCCATTACAAACTGACATTGAACTTTGAACTTACTACAAACCACAATCATTATAAACATAATAGCCAAATACATACATGGAGGCTAACCATCAGAACCAAACTTCCAATTTTACAACAATGTTTACAAGCCAAAAAATGATTTCCCAAAATGACAATGTACTTACTACAATTTACAGTCAAAAGATAACATGTTGTCAACAAATTGGAAGCTTGTTATCAAAAGATGCTTTCACAAAAAGGGCTATCAAAAGATTTATGCCCAATTAACCCCCCATCCATAACAACATCAGTCCAATGTAAGTGCTTTCTCAGTTGTTGAACCACCTCCATCTGGATCATGCACTGCTTTTTCAACTTAATCTTGATAATTCTTTTTGAGGGCTTCCTTTTTCTTACCAACGGATCTTGTGTTTCTTGACTGGTCTCTTCATCAACTATACTCTCAACCAACATCTCCTTCCTCTCTTTTATCAACTGTGAATAAGTAATTAACATATTATCACATAATGTTCAAGAAATTGTGTTAATAATTAAATTTATAAGTACACACCTTATTAAAAGCTTCAACAATTTCCCCAAGATCATATCCAGATGCCTGTAGATCTTTAATAGTTTCAAAATCTTCATGGCCAAGCTTTTCATGGCAGGTAAGTACAACTTCATCAACACCTGCCATAGTTTGACTTAAACTACCATGCACAACCCCGATTCTCCCTACATATTTGATCTTACCTCCCCTCCTTGCCATCATCCTCATTCTCTTCAAAGGAGAAATTGACTGATCAACATCTATCATCTTACCTGCTTCTTTTGATGTGCCCTCAGCAGCTTTCATCTTTCCCTCACTTGCTTCTTTTGATGTGTCATCAACATCTTTCTTCTTTACCTCATTTTCTTCTTTTGATGTGCCCTCAACAACTTTCTTCTTTCCCTCACCTACTTTCCTTGGTGTCTTTGTAATGTTCACAGTTGGATTCCCTCCCCCATCTCCCCGTGGTCTGCCATTTTTCCTTTTAGGGACAGGGTGTAACACCTGGTTCCTGGTACGTATTTAAATTCAAGTAATTTCATGTTTTGCCCTGGGACTCGGCGAGTTGGAGGCCCAACTCGTCGAGTAGACTCGATTCTGACCGGGAGGTTTAGTGACCTACTCGATGAGTTGGGGGACCGACTCGATGAGTAGAAGCTGTTTGGATGAAACCCTAATATTTAGGGTTTGCACCCTATTTAAACAACTTATCTCGTCCCAAACCAGCCTCCATCGTCCCTCTCACTTCCAGAAGACCCTAAATAGAAACCCTAGCCTTGTTTGAGAGTTCTTAAGCCATTCTTGTGCATTTTTGGTAGTTGTGAAGCTTGAGAAGGAGGAAAGAGCTTGGGAGTTCAAGTTGAAGCTAGTAGATCCAGAGGTTGTGTTCCATTTCCAACTCATTTGGGTAAAAAGCTTCAACCTTGACTTTCCATTTGTTAGATCCTCTTTAGGGCTTGAATCTTGTCATTTTTGGGGCATTTCTAAGTCACCTTCGGGTTTGGGGCATTATATAGAGGAATAACTTCAGATCTGGAACATAGGAGGGTTCTCATGGCATAAAGGTTCCAACTTTACTGCCATAAGAGCCCCATGCATCTTGAAGACTCCATTTTAGGGCCTTTTGAGCTAAATGGCCCATGCATGAACGTAAAGTTTGTAACTTTACGTACAATATGGACCCTAGGAGGTCAGATATATGATTTAGATGCTTTGAGACCCACTGAAATCGACTGTATAGTTTTGGACAAAGAGGGACTCGGCGAGTCGGGTCGTATTTCCCCATCAAATCCTTCTGTTGATGGACCAGATGCTAAGATAGAAGAACACTCCGCTTTCTAGGCTCATTAGGGACCTGGAAATCATGGAACTCGGCAAGTTCAAGGCAATGTCCCAACCACTTGAAGACTGACTCGACGAGTTCAAGGAGAACTCGGCGAGTCATAAACTAACCACCTTCATACAGATGAGGATGAACTCGATGAGCTCAAGGATGAACTCGACGAGTCTGTTGAAGAAGGTTTATATGATATGTTTAAGGTAAACTCGTCGAGTTCTTGCTAGACTTGACGAGTAGGGACGAGGTTGTAACATCTTGTGGACGTGGGGACTCGACGAGTTGGTGAACCAACTCGGCAAGTTTAGCCAACCAAAGTTGACTTTGACCAGGGTTTTGACCTTGACTTTGACTTGGAATTTAATGACCCTTGTAAGGGTTATGAGTATGAAATGGTAATGTAGAAAGGATGTTGTGTAGGGATTGAGGAGTCGAGAAGAGTCGATTTTCGTACTGAGGACAACTACACGACATTGAGGTGAGTTACCTTCCAGTAGAAGTGGGTCTAAGGCACCAAGGCCGACCCACTAGTAGTTGATTATAGTTGAAATGATTGTCTTTGTGATAATCGTCTGCTTTGCTACTACCTGGTATGTTTATGTGTTAGCATGATATGTTATATGTGATAGTGGTAGTAATAAGGGGAATAGTCCCCGATTACCGGTCGATAGGACCAAAGGGGTAGTTTAGTACCAACTATGCTAGACAGTATGGTTATGTTGTGTTAGTGTGAGATAGTAGTAGGGGTGAAATAGTCCCCGTAACCGGTTGAGATAAACCGGAGGGGTAGGTCGGACACCCCAGTATGTCTGACAGGGGTAGGTTAGGAACCCCGGTATGCCTAGCAGGGTAGGTCGGGCGCCCAGATATGCCTGACAATATGTTTATAGTAGGATATGTGGTATGGTGGGGGAACTCACTAAACTTCATGCTTACAGTTTTCAGTTTTGTTTCAGGTACCTCTTCGTCGAAGGGGAAGGAGCCGGCGCGGTAGCAGCGCATCACATACACATACTGGGTTCCGCATTTTGAGATCTATGGGATTGCACTCTGATTTTATTACTGTTTGATGTTATGATTTTGAGATATGTGTATTATGGGTTTATGGATTGCTATGATATCCACAATGTTTTCAGTAAATGGTTTTATAAGTTAATTAATTAAAAACGGAATTTTTGGACTCGAAATTTGGGATGTTACACAGGGTCACTTGGACCTTCTCCATTCTTACAAGACAGCTTATTATGACCAAGTTCCCTACATTTCCCACACCTAACAGTCCTGCTTACCTTTTCCTTTTGAGTTGGGAACTTAGAATCCTGACATTCTGAGGCATGTCTTCTCTTTATTTTTGGCCTTCCAGGCATTCTCCTAAGAAGGGGCGGTAAGGGATTCAAATATTCAGTATAGGGCCACATATTACTTCCATTAACATGTAATATGTTGTCCCTGTATCTCTCTATGAACTTGTCCTTATGAAACCAAAAGGAAAAAAAATAAGCTGGATCTCTATGTGTGAAATTGATTGCAGTTTGAGCATGGACACATGGTAACCTTGATATCTCCCATAATCTGCATGAACAAGAATGAGCATCTAAATCCACCGTGTAAGCTGAATATCCATGCCTTGTCTCAAATAATGCCCCTCCACTTGGTATTACTATGCAGAACCTAAAATTATAAGTAATTAGTAATGTACATGTATAGACTTAAGATCAAAATTAAAATCAAATAAGCATACCTCATATGCTTTCCAAACTCCTTAATCTTCTCTAAGGTGTTTGGGCCATAGTCACCTTTCCATTGAGAAACTATAGCAGCTTGATGATAAAACCTATTCATCAAATAAATCCTGATTTCCTCAAGCATTGTTAGAATTGGTTTTTTTTTCTCACGTGAATGATCATCGAATTATAACACTCTGATATGCCATTCTCTATAGCCTCACAAGCATATCCATGAGAGAAAAATTCCCTACACCAAGAATGTGGTTTGTTTGACATCAACCATTCATAGCCACTGGTTGTTATGTGTTTGATTTTCTTCATTGTTGCTATAAAGCCCCCCTCCACAGTACTTTTGGCAGCTTCCCAAAACAGGTTCTTGAGCTCTAACCCAATGTATTTCTTCCTGAAGTTTGCATAGATGTGCCTGGCACATTGTCTATGTTCAACATATGGAAGTAGTTCTGTAACAACTTGTAGTAGACCTTGACATTGAATAAACAAAATTATTATAAATGTATAATAATTAAACAAATTTACAATATAATTTACCTTGTGTTGATCGGAAATAACCACAAGACCCCTACCACAATCAAGTTCATGCTATTGGATATACATGATTGTCTGCATCTCTTCCAAAAACAATCAAAAGTTCTCCCTTGATCTGACCCTTTAGGAAACAACCATCCAAAACTATCACACGTCCGCAATCCCTATTCCAACCATCCTTAAAAGCCTTTAAGCACACATAAAACCTTTTGAAATAGTTCATGCCACTTGCATTAGAATCTACTCCCACCTTACAAGTGCTCCCTGAGTTAGACCTGAGGATTTCTGCAGCATAGTCCCATGCCTTTGCATAATGTTCTTCTAACTTACCTTCTATCATCTCTCTTGCCTTTGTCCTAGCCCTGTGACATTTCCCCTTAGATACATTTACTGAAAACATCCTAAGTACATCTTCCTTCATCTCAGTTAATGTCATCTTTGGCTTCCTTCAGGTAATGTTTGGCCAACCAGTTGCAACTAACCAAAGTTCCAAAATTAAAATTTCTAGCACATAGATGTATGTCACATATAAATTTAATCTGAAATGTTCGTTCATTATACTTCCAAGCAGCATACACTCTAAAGGGACATGGGTCTTTTTTATATATTTTCCCACACCTAGCAATCACTCTGTGCCTATCACTCTTCATAAACCACAACTAATATCCATTAGCTACTGCATAGTTAGTTAATGCAAACTTGAGTTGAGAATGGGACTCGTAACACTCTCCCAATACAAGCTTCATTTGTTTCCAATGGATGTCTGGATCATGAACCCTGTACTCTACACCCACTTCACCGTCATTTTGTTCATCAATATGATTATGTTCTGGATCCTTAACACCAGCTTCCTGATCATCATCTCCCATTCTATCAAGAGTCCTCCTTAACATATTTTCATCACATAATATGTTAAGGAATGGGTCATCAGACAGGTTTGAGGTTGGTTTAAAGGTCTCTGGTGCAAAATCCAGGAAAGAGAAATCTATGAGATCATCATCAGAGTCCTCGTCCCTTACATAAACCTTTTCAGGCCCTTTCACCTTTTTAGTTTCAGATGATGAAGCCATCTGTTCAAGATGAAAAATTAAACTTGTAAGTGACACTATGGAACTCGATTATGTAAGATAAGAACACACATACACATCAATTTCTTATTGGCACCCCACGTACCTTTCTACTTCAGTGACTTTCAACTTCAAGATAGAAGATTTTTTTCCATGCAACAATGGTGTAAGAAACCCTTTTCAAACCCTTCTTCTTCCTAAGACCAACTACATGAAACCCTTTTTTGATGCAAGACGTTTCTGTGAAAGGTGATATTTTGTGGTGTACGAACGATCGAGTAGTATAGGAGAGTGGTGATCGGCTGCGTACCTTGACCTATTGTTAACCGACTAATAAAACGATTTTGAAACGGGGTCACAATTATTTAGGCTAATTAGACACAAAAAATCCATTTAGGGTTAATTTAGAATTGGGATGTAAAACTTATGACTTTTATGGTATTAACCCATTTTTTTTAACAAAATAATCATCAAGTTTGCAATGAGGCATTCCAGACGGAATAAAAACATTTTTTCTTACAAAAAATATATTTTGGGTTTCGGATTGAAATTTCGAGGTTCGAAAAAAACACTCTAGAATTTGAATAACAAGTAAGAAATCCGATGAACAATTCCGGAATTTTTAAAATAGTTTTTCGTTTTTTTACTAAAGTCTAATAAAAAGTTAAACATCCATAGTAAATGGGATGCAAATACGATACTAAGGTATATAGCATGGGCAGATCTACTATGGTGCCAGAAGTGGTACCGACAACACCTCTTTTTTTTGGACGTAATCCAAAATTTTTTGAATATTTTTCTACTATCGTGAAGCTATTAAAATTTCATGTTACACCCCTACTATGAAGCCATGCGTCGCCCCCGGTATATAGTCGAACATTTGATTGAAACAGTGATATCAATAGTTCGAAATGGACATTTTTGACATAAGTATAGTGGTCTCTTTGAATTTTTTTACCACAAAACTCCGAAATTTAAAGAACAGGTCTGGAATGAAACTTTTCCAAAAAAAATAAAAAATGGTTATTTATAAAAAAAACTCATTCATAAGGGTTTAATGAATTTCCTATCTATATTCGGCTGTTTTTATGTCGTCATTAACTCATTATCTTTAGAGTAAAATTACACGATTTTTCTTGGTGTAAGTATCAAAATGTGCGTTTAGTCCCTATTTTTCAAAATTAATTCGAACTGTCACTTATATAAAAGTTACATGCTTAATCCCTGATAGACCTAAAATGACCATAATGTCCCTTTTTAGAAGGGCTAACACACACCGAATAAATCCTACTCCTAAATTTACTTATTTTGTCCATAAACAGATTTGAACCCTTAACCGCTCGGGAAGGAACACATTTCCCACACCTGATACCACCAGGCTATAAGCCCTTTGGTAATGCCGTAATCTATTTTTTTTATTTGTTTATTATTTATGATATAGAAAGGTAAAAGAATATGATCACTCTCATCCCTACCTTTACCCTACCCCTTCATCTTGAATTCTTCTCTTCAAGGCCTCTCTCTCTCTCTCTCTATTAATTTGTTAAAGAACCCTAATTTGGACCATGACCATCACCACAAACTGTTGAAAAACCCTAATACGGACCATGACTACAATAACAAGTTATATAACAACCAAAATTTACATTTCTCCAAGTCCAAAAGGAATCTGGATTGTACATAAGATGTACTATCATGGCACTTATAGGTTGTTTTTTTGGAATCCATTGAGGATATCATTATCGAGGTGAAGACGTAGATGATTTTAAAACTTAGATGAGAGATTTGAATTTTTACATTTATGGAAGAGATGCAAACTTGTTAGTTGATAAGATGCTTGGTATAAAAATCATATTTCCATACAAAAAGGTTTAGCGGTACAACTTGATGCTCGTTTGCTATCTCACTCGTTGTATGATGATAACTAAGATATGTTATTATTGTGAGATCTTGTGATTAAAAAAAAGTTGAGGACAGTCATTCGTATTCTTTATTTTAGGACGACGAGACTTCCAAGTTATATTGCAAAGAATTTGGTGATGTATCGTTTGATGCTGCATTCTAAGACCAAATCCAACCGGCCACTAAAATAGTGGAATTACTGCAATTTTTGTTCCAATTGTCTTCTAAATTGGGCGCTATCACTGTTTATAAAAGTTTGGCCACTCAATATGGAAGCCCTTTTCATCCAATACCAAATTGCTTTTTGATTATATGTTAATGTTATATTTAATAGAATTGCTTTCATAAACGTAACATAGATAGTAAAATTGCTTTTTAATATAATAATATTAATATTATTTATAGTTCATTGAACAATAAATACCTTTAACTAATTATAGGTATACTATGGTGTTTGTTTCTTTTATTGGAATTAACAACCATAAACATTGTGTGACTTTTGATGGTGGCCTTTTAAGTCGAGAAGATACAAGTTGTATGTATGGCTGTTAGAAGCATTTCATCCTCAATGGTCTCGGTGAACGACTCTCCGACGGATGAATTCCTGGTCTCCAAAGGTGTCCGACAGGGCGACCCTCTAGCCCCGTTTCTCTTTATAATTGCAATTGTAATGTTTGAGTTTTAGGTACTCGTCAATACCTTGCATAAGTCTTAAAAGTTAGCATTTTGGTCCTTGTTATGCTGGGCATAACTTGGAGTACATTGGGCGTACTTCCTTAAGTTGGGCGTGGGGGTTGGCAGTGTACATTGGACTTACCATACGTACGCCGGGCGTATGTGAGCAGACCATAAACCCTAGGGATTGGCCCCTATTTAAGTGTCATTACGGACCTTGAGGCTACCCCTCATCAATCTCCTTCCCTCTAAAGACTCCTCACGAAATCATAGCTTTTCCTTGTGTGTTCTTGAGCTTTTGTTTAAACTCTTGGTGTTTTGTGCATCTTGAAGAAGAAGGAACTTGGTGATCAAGGATTAGTTGGAGTGGAGCTTGAAGATCCAGAATCTTCATCATCTTGGCAAGTCTCAGAAGGTATAAAGTTTCAACCTTGTTGATTCATCTCCTAGATCTAGTTATCTTAGGGTTCTTGGCATGTTTTGGTCCCTTGAGTTGTTTCATGTGAGCATTAGCTACTCTAGAAGCTTAGGATGATAAATATTAGTATTTCTGAGGTCCCTTGTGCATAAAAATGGTATCTTGATGGATTTAACTCAACCATGAAAGGGTTGATGTTCATTTCATGGGGTTAAAATGTTAAAATTGGGCATTGAGCCTTATTAAGCCATGCAAAAGCTTAAAGCTTTTGACTTTATGGATTAGGACCTTGTTTTGGAGTAGATCTGAAGTTTGGATGTTAGGGTCTTAAGGGATTAAGCCATCTATATAAGGAATTGTTCACATACCAGGAATTGTCACATATTAGTAAGATGGGTGTACTTCTAAGTACGTTAGGCATACTTATAAGTTCGCTGCATGTACTGGGTTTAAACCCCATCTCCCGGTCAGGCGTGAGTATGCGCAATGTACAAGTCGAGTATGCTCAACGTATTCCCATCAGTAGGTTTAGAAGGTTTTGGGCCATTTTGGGCTTCAGGTGCTCTTGGGTTTAGGCCAGAGTTATTTGGGGCCAATTAAGGAAAGGGTAAAATGGTATTTTACCCTAGGAGTTGGGCTTAATGAATCAGATTACCGGTTATGTTTTTAATGCCTAATTATTAATTTGGGGTTTTATTTGATTGGATAGTACGAGGATTCTCCAAGTTAGCGGCTCGAGCATCTATTTGTTTATCAGCGGATCGATGTGAGTTTGCTCACTTTAATATAGGACACTAGGGTTGTATGTGCTTGTTGTCTTTGTGAATCTTGTTGTATGTATGTGTGCCTGTTTGTTATATGTATGTGGGGTGAAATTGACCCGTACGGTTGAAAAATACCGATTAAGTTGAAATAGACTCGGGTTGAAACAGTCCTGGTACAGCCTTGAGCTGACATATATGTTTGGTATGCGGTATTTTGTGGAACTCACTAAGCTTTGTGATTACGATTTTTAGTTTATGTTTCAAGTACTTCCGATTCGAAGGGGAAGAGATCGGGATGATCGCATCGCTCACACCATGATTTTTCTGCGTTATTTGATCCTGATGTATTTTTGGATGATTGTCAACATACTCTAATTTCCTTTATGATTTTTATAAAAATGTTTGGTTGATGGTTTTATTAATACATAATTAAAATTTTTGGTTATAAATTTTGGGACATTACAACAATGAAGGGCCTTAATGTGGTGATAAAAAATGTTTGCAACAAAGATTTATTTCGTGGGGTTAAACTACCCAATAACGAGGCCACCATATCCCATCTCTTCTATGCCAATGACGCCCTTTTTATAGGAGAATGGAACTGATATTATATTTTTAATCTCGCTCGCATTCTCAAATGCTTTCACGTCTCATCTGGACTAAAGGTGAATTTTTACAAATCTCGTGTCTTTGGTATCAGCTCCTCGAATACTGAAAACGAATTGTTAGGCCTCAACACTAGGCTGTGTCGTAGACTCCCTCCCCTTCACTTACCTTGGGGTGCCCGTGGCTGCCAACATGTTGTTTAAAAAACATTGGAGGCTTGTAATTGAAAAATTCCAAGCAAAACTCTCCTCATGGAAAGCCCATACCCTTTTATTCGGCGGTCGACTTACCCTGGAAAAAGCTGTCCTCAACAGCCTTCCCATGTCACAACCCCGACCGAGGCGGCAAAAACACGCTGGGCTGTGCGACTAAGTTCATGGATCACAGGTAAACTGAATATATAGCACATGTACAACAATAAACAAAATAGCATTTGAGTTTAATCTTGATATTTGAATACAATGATTTTACATATAATAATAATACATGAATTTGCCTTAATAGATAGGCATATAATACAACAGCAAGTAAACTAGGTCACCTGTAATCCAATCTGTCTTGAATGTCTGTTTAATGATTTTCTGAGAATACATGTAGTTTTGAGGGTCAACACAAGGTTGGTGAGCGTTACAGGTTTT